AGGGAAGAGACAACTGAGCACTGTAAATCAGACACATGGAGAACATTCCAGCAAACAGCAGAACAGACTTTCTTCTAAGTGTGCGTGGAATAGAGGATAGACCATATGTTGTGTGACAAAACAAGCCTAGATATATTTTGTAATGAAATCATGCAAAAGCTCTTTCTAACCATAGAATGATTTTTTTAATTGAGATAAAATTCACAAAATATTAAATACATCATAAAATGGCAAATTTTAAGTTATGTATCTTTTACCACAATAAAAGAACATTTAAAGACAGCCAAATGGAAGAATATATTACTTTGATACATATGTATTGATAAAATAATAATAACAATTAGTGAGTGCTCATTTTTAAAAAAAATAATATCCAGGTGACTGCAGGTGCCTGGTCTCATCTCATCTCAGGAAGAGGCTGAAGCAGAATGAAGGGAAAGAGCCATTGCTGCATGTGTAGACCTTGCCACGTGTGCAGAGCTCAGCATGCAGAGCTCGCCGTACATGCAGAACACACACGTGTGCACCCCACACTGTGCATGCAGAGCTTGCTGTGTATGTAGACCGCATTACGGGTGCAGACCATGCTGCGTGTGCAGACCGCAATGTACATGCAGAGCTCACTATGCATGCAGACCACACTGCGTGTGCAGAACTTGCTGCGGATGCAGAGCTCACTGTATGTACAGCCTGCACTGCATGTGCACACCTTGTGTGTGCAGAGCTCACTGTGGATGCGGACCGCACTGTGCGTGCAGACCTCACTGTGTATGCAGATCTTGCTGTGCATGCAGAGCTCACTACATGTGCAGACCGCATTGCATGTGCAGACCTCATAGCGTGTGCAGAGCAAGCTCACTGCTCGTGGGCTGGGCAGACTGGGGCAGGGCATACTCAGGACAAGGTGAGCTGCCCTGCTTCTCGGCTCTCAACCCAGGCCCTGACCTGCAGCCTCTTCTACAGGAGGTGACTGGGAGCATCCTTTAGTAGTCTGTGGAATGCCTGCAGGCCAGGGGACCTAGAGAGAAAAGACATGGGGAGAGGAGGGACAGCTGGGGACAGAGAAGCTGGGGTGAGGACAGTCACTTACTTTTGGCATGAGTAATTCTAGCACCCCTTACACCCACAAAGAAATTTGAACAAACACTGAGTGGTCTAGCAGCTCAAGGCCATGTGTCCTGGGCCAGCCAAGATCTGCTCAGGAAAATGTGAGGCTACAGAAAGCAATTCCTGCTTCTTCCAGCCACAGTTGGATGACAGGACCCTGCCCCCACCCCACGTGCCCCCTCTTGCCTTACAGCAGTCACTTGGGAAACTCACAAGGATATATCTTTTCTGTCCCTTCAAGATGGAGCTCCTAATGCCCAGGAGTGTTCTCAAGGACCTGGGGGCTAGCCTCCAAAAGGCCATCCAGTTATCAGTCTCCATGGGAAGGCAGCGGCTCAGCTTCAGTAAGCCTCGGGTGGCAAACCCCTATCACCTTTCGGGACTAGCAGATTCCCAGCTTCTGTGTGAGTCCAGCTGAGCCCACCCTGCTCCCTGTGCTGTCCTGTGCAATGTCAGTACCTGCACACCTCAGGCCAGCTCGGTCCTGGGCTCAAGTCCCCCACTCCATAGCAGCAGTGTGAGAGCGATCTGCTCTTACTGCCTCTGGAGAGTGCTGGCCAGCAGCTCCTCAGCTCAGAGACAAGGGGCTCCCAGGGGATCAGCACCTCCCTTTTCATTGGTGCTGTCTTGGGCCACGACCAGTGCTGTGCTTTGAATGTGTCCCCTCCAAAATCTCCCATGTGGTCATATTAAAAGATGGGGGCTTTGGGAATTGAGTAAATGGGCTTTTACTAGCTCTTTATGGAAGGGCCAGAGGGAACTAGCATTGGCCCTTTTTACCCTTCTACCTTCCACCATGTGAGGGTGCAGCAACAGGGCACCTTCTAAGAGGCAGGGAGCAGCCCTCACCAGAAACCAGAACTGCTGGTGCCTTGACCTGGACTTCTCAGCCCTCCAGAACCATGAGAAGCAAATTTCTGCTCTTTATACATTACCAGTCTCGGGTATTTTGTGACAGCAGCACAAATGACTAATGTCATCAGCAATGCCAACTGTTGCCCCTCACCAGACTCCTGCCATGGGGCTCCTGCCATAGGGCTCCTGCCTACCTACCTGGGAGCACTCCCGGCAGGTCCAAGAGATACCCTAGCGCCAGATCCAAGGGGCCCTCTGATGCCACCACACTTCGCCCTCCTCCTTGGCCCTCTGCCTGCTTGGGACGCCAACCCTTAGTCCTGCTGCCCCCTGTGCTGCCACCAAGAAGTAGTGCCTCCTCTCTTCATCCTCTTGCCACCTCTTACTGGCGTCCCGCATGGTGCCTCTCCCACTTCTGCCTCACCTCTTCCATCCGTTTCAAAGCTCCCCTGCAAATCTCATTTCATATCTCACTTATAGGTGTTTAATTCACATGTTCCCAAATCCTCCTAAGGGTCACTCTTTATTAATCAAATAAAATAGCAAAAGGCAGCCCCCAGACTGTGGGGGTCCCAGCTCTCAGCTCCTGCAGCTTCCAGAGCTCATCTGCTCTTGGTCTCATCTCCACGCTCACTCCCACTGCACTGGCACAGTACTCTCCCCTCCGGTCTGCAAGTGCCACCATATCTTCCTCCTCCCCAGCGCGGAACAGGCACTTGGGCCTCAGTCTCCTAAAGCACCTTTTCTCAGGCTTTTCTACTGAAAGGCTGAGGCAGGGGAGGCAAGATTAGGGCACAACGCAGCAAAAAAATACCCGCCCACGAGCAGAGCTTCATCGTCAGTCCTTCCTTACCCTACCTCCTTTCTCTTGCCACACCGCAACATGGTTCATATGCCTTTGGGGTTACCGAGACCCCCAGTCACCTAAGACTCCCTTCTTCTCCTAGCCCTGGCCATTATGGTATGCAAGTCCATGAAGCTTAGGAGAGCCAGGTACTAGATACTCAGAACTTTTGCCAGCAAGTTGTGAAAATACTCATATTTGAAATCAACCATGGTGGGGATGTTTACAACAGAGGCCTACGAGCACTGCATTTCCTTTCATTCCCTGGTGGTGGGGATATTTACACCAGTGATATGGGCAAGCACTGAAATCCAGGGCCTTTCATTTCCTCATAGTGAGGATATCTACGCCACGGACACGAGTAAGCACCACACCCCAGGGCCGTTCATTTCCGAGAGCTATTTCTCCAGCACACCTTCTGGCCACTGGACTACCTAGGCCTGTCAGGTGGAGCTAAGAAGCTTTCCCTGCTCAGGCCCCTCCCAGCTGAACCATCCTAGGGGCCCTAGAGTTCTCCACAAAGGCAAAGTACAAAGTGCTTTTCTTAAATTTCAAAACAATTCACTGCCCTAGGGGAAATCTTCCAGCCTCCCTGAACCCCCTGACTGAGCCAGTCTCCCATCACCAAACACTGTCCCACATTCCTGCATGTAAATAAATCCACATCCTCTTGTTTTAGACAGAAGAAGCTCTTTTTTGGAGCCAGACCCAGCTCTGCAAGCACCTACCACCCATGAAGGGCTTCAAAAAGTTCACAGAAAGATGGAATTAAAGTATGAGTTTAGGGGCCAGCAGGTGGCATGGTGGTTAAGGCATTGGACTCTTGTGTGGCCGTCATGTTTCCAGTCCCAGAGCTGGCAGCTTTAAACTCACACCTGGCGCACGAGTGCCAAATCCCATGAGGAAAATGGAGAAGGGGTTGTGGATGGCCATCCCCCCAGGAGGTGATTTCTCACTTTTCCTCTCTCTGTCTCTGTCTCTCTGGCGACAGCATGCACCCTATGATAAAATTTTTTTTTTTGAGAGGTTTTCACTATAGGGCGTGTGCGCTCACCAGACAGACAGAGAGAGACATAGAGACAGAAAGCGAGAAATCACCCCCCGGGGGGATGGTCACGCCGCAATCCCTTCTCCTCCATTCTCCTCTCGGGATCTTGGGCACGCATGCACACGCACCCGGCATGAGTTTTAAGCCACCAGGTCCGGGACGTGAACCGCGGTCGACTACGTGGGAGTCCAGCGACATAGCCATTACGCTAACTGCTGGTTCCCGATAAAAAAATTTTTAATAAAATAAAAATAAATTATAGGTTTATTTTGGTACAAATAATTTTGAAATCCATGCACTGGGCATGAGCTTTATACAGGTCCCTCTTCCACGCGAATCCCACACCGCCATCTGAATCATGCCCCATCCTAGCCTCCAGACACCTCTGATGGGGAATCCAGGGCTTTCAATCTGACCTTCTATATCTCTTTGCTCTCCTGCCAGGAGAGTTGAGCAGTGAAGAATCCAGACCCACCAGGGTTCTGATCCAGCTCTGCTGCCTGCTAGTGTAAGCTCTCATGCAAGGGCCTAACTGTGCCTCAGTTTCCTCATCTGTAAAGTGAAAATAAACAACTACTGCTTCACAGGCTGTTGTTAGGGGCACAGCGTTAACATTTGTAAGCTTGCTCGGAATGGTTTCTAGCAGGTAGAGAGACTGCACACGTACGTGTGTTAGAATAAAAGGAAATAAGCCACTTGCTGGTCCATGGATTCAGAGGGAAATTCTCACCCCAAAATAAAGAGCATATAAAAGAAGAAACACTCTATGACCCAGCTGAGAGAAGTTTGGGAAAATGATAGCAAGAAAGTGCAGAGATGACCAGGTGGGGCTGGCCAGGAGCTCCTGACCTGTGGTGGTCAGGTTTGGCTCCAGCTGGGTGGATGCCTCCACCGTGCAATCACACCCCAGCTCTAGGAACCCATCAGCTCCAGCCTCTCTGGAGTTTTATAAAAAAGTCACAGGGTCCTGTTGAGTTGCTCCAAACATCAACAAGGAAAAAGGCTGGGGCCTCTGGAGAAGGACACACAACCTCAGGAGGTATAAAAGCCCCATTCATCCAGAGCACCTCACACCCTCACACACTCACTTACTCACTCACACCCTCCTCCCTCTCCAGCTCAACCACCTACATGGCCGCCTCCACCATGTCCGTCTGCTCCAGCGACCTGAGCTACGGCAGCCGGGTCTGCCTGCCTGGTTCCGCTGAGTCCTGCACAGGCTCCTCCTGGGAGGTGGACGACTGCCCAGAGAGCTGCTGCGAGCCCCCCTGCTGCACCCCCAGCTGCTGTGAGCTTTCCTGCTGTACCCCCAGCTGCTGTGCCCCGGCCCCCTGCCTGACCCTCGTCTGCACCCCAGTGAGCTGTGTGTGCAGCCCCTGCTGCCAGGCAACCTGTGAGCCCAGCCCCTGCCAGTCCTGCACTCCCTCGTGCTGCCAGCACTCT